GCTTGTTCCCCTGCGCTACTGAGAAGCGAGGTGCCAAAAGCTCATCGTGCAGTGCCAAATCGTCGACCAGCACTGGCGATGTCATTCGCCCGAGTGCGGCGTCCGCCACTGCCCCAGCATGCAATTCGGCAGCGTGAGCGCCATCGCGGAGACTAACAATGATCGCCGCATTCTGCGCTTCCGCGCGGCCCATTAGATCGCTGACGGGCTCGCGCTCTTCGCGGGCCACGCGACGCTCGGCGACGCCGGAGGCTGGCAGCGCGCCCACGAACGGCGCCCCTTCGCGGAATAGGCGCTCAACGTCGTCGGCCCAACCGAGCTCGGTCGCGATGGCGCCTAATGAGGGTCGGGCCGTCGACCTCGGAGACTGCGGCTCTGGCCGCCGCACCCGCGCCGTCCAGCCAGGCCCGCTTGGCCCCCGAACGTCTCGACTCGCGGCAGCGCGCCTCTATGGCTGTAATCGCGGCCTCCCTTTCGCTGAAGATCTGCCGCGCGGCGCGTGCGGGGTGGCGCGCGCGAGTTGCGACTGTCGCGCCTGCTGGCAACTGCGCGACTTTGCCCAGTCGACACAGGCGCGGAGATCGTCGCGCAGGGGCGCGGCGTCTTATAACCACGCCGTGCCCTTCGACGCGGCATTAATGACAAAGTCGAGATTTGCCTTGTCTTCCCCCTGCGACGCTGCGGCGCTGGCGCGCGGAAGGCGCGGGGCATCGCGGCCGCGCTCTCCGCCTCGGCGCTGGACGCCAAGTCTTCAAAACGCGGGAGCCACGAGCCCGCCGCGGCACTGCTTGCAGCGTTCCGCCCGTCAGGTACTGGCGCGCTCCGGTCATCCGACGGGCACATTGCCCCAGAGGCCGTCACTGGCGCCCGCGCCTGCCGGCCGACGGCCCCCAAGAGTTCGGCGCGCCCGCGCGCGACGGAAGCGCGCCGCGCCAGTGATGCAGAGAGAGACCTGCCATCTGGCAAATTCGGCGCGGGTATGCCCGCGCTCTCGCGCTCCGCCAAGCCTGGGCGCGCTTTCCGCGCGCGAGCGCGCGCTGCCGGCCGCGCGACGGTGCTCGCGCCTCAATCCTCGCGCTTGCGCTTCGGCGTGCGCGGCTGCTCTGTGCCCCGCGCTGCGTCGTGCTTGCCTTTGCCCTTCGCGTGGGCCCGCGAATCCCAGGACTTGCCCCAGCTCTTGGGCTCCCAGGACTTGCCCCAGCCCTTGTCGCTCTCGGGGTGCTGGGACTTGCCGTCGCCTTCCCCCTTGGACTCCGCATGGGGAGCGCCCTTGCTGCTGCCCTTCTGCTGCCGATCGGAGAGGTTGGGATGCCCGCGAGCCGTGTACTCGCGCTTGGCGCGTATGTACAGGCTCTGCTCTTGCTGCAGCGCGTCGCGGTTGACGTTAAAGGAGCTGGAGCCACTGGCGCGATCGGCCCACTCCCGCCTGACCAGCTCGTCATAGATGACCGCCAGAGCTGTGGACTTGTGCACCCCGCGCGCCTGCCCGCAACGCGCGCTGGCGGCGGCCGGCCTCGGCCGCGAGACCAGGGAAGGGAGTTCGCCTGCAGTGCGATCTGCATGGCGACGTCCTTGTGCGCCATCGCGGCGGCCAGTTCAATCTGGCCCGTGAAGCTCGCGGCCAGGGCCCACCGGTCGAACGCGACCGACCAGAGCATGAGCGACAGCCCTCGCGAGGCGGCGGCTCCGCCCAGAATGCACGCGCCGAAAGAGCGCGCCTTCTTTGTTCGCGTCCGCGCCGTCCTGGCCGTCGCGCTTCATTACCGCCCACTGTGGCAGCCACTTCTTCAAACGCTGTAAATGAACGGTCTCGCGATCCCCTTCGCTTGGGCCGCTTTGACCTGCGCCGCTCCGAAGCGCCGCGTGCGAACGCTAAGCGATACACCGCGCGCGCGTGGGCGCCTGGCTGTCGAGCCAGTCGCACGACGCCGGCGACGGCCAGCAAGCAGACGGCAAATCGCTGAGGCGGATGTCGCCCAGCTTCGCGCCGATGTCGACGTGCGCGGCCGCAGTCGGCTTGCGCGCGAGTGCGCCCACTAGCGCAGCGACAGGGTCATTCGACCCCCGCGCCGCCCCGTCGTCGCCGCGGGCGGCAGCCATGCGCCCCGCCTCGGCCCTGGCGGCGTTCTCTGCGGCACGCTTGACGGCGCGGTCGAGGAAGGCTACCTTCCCACCGTCGAGGCCGCCCTTGTGGAACGAACTCTCATGAATGTTGAGCCCGACTAGGTCTCGTTCAACCTGGCACGCGCTGTGCGCGACAGACGGACCGAGAAAGCGCGTGGCGCTCGCCGTGACAGAATTCGCGCGAAGTGCTGCAATGACGTCGCGGAGGTATTCCTCGTCGCGCTTTGCGTGCGCGTCGACGCCAGACAGAAAAGCTTGCAAATCCGCCATGGGTGCGAGCGGGCGCCGCCTGTTAACGCGTATGACGCGCTTGTGCGCACTCTGTCCGCGCCCGGCTGCAGCTCGCGCACCGAAGCCGACCACGTACACGCGGGCCTCGTTTGGCCACCTAAATGACGCGCGCTAAGCGTGCACGGAGGGGGCGTAGACGTCGAATCGCGTCGGAACAGCCCCCGCTCGGAAGTGCGCTCGCGCGCCACACGTGCGGCGTAGACGTCGAATTGCGTCTTAATCTGACCTCGTTCGGTCGGTCGCTCGCTATCCTCGTTCGGATGCGGCGTAGACGTCGAAGTGCGTCTAATCGGACCTAGTGCGGTCGTTCGCTCGCTATCCTCGTTCGGATGCGGCGTAGACGTCGAATTGCGTCTTAGTTTGACCTCGTTCGGTCGTTCGCTCGCTATCCTCGTTCGGATGCGGCGTAGACGTCGAATTGCGTCTGATCGGACCTTGTTCGGTCGTTCGCTCGCTATCCTCGTCGGATGCGGCGTAGACGTCGAATTGCGTCTTAATTTGACCTCTTTCGGTCGTTCGCTCGCTATCCTCGTTCGGATGCGGCGTAGACGTCGAATTGCGTCTAATCGGGCCTAGTTCGGTCGTACGCTTGCTAACGTCGGACGGCTGCGGCATAGACGTCGAATTGCGTCTAATTTGACCACGTTCGGTCGTTCGCACGCGGCCCACACTCGGATGCGGCGTTGGTGTCGAATCGCGCCTGCAACGACCTCGTTAGGCCGAAACGCAGACTGGACCTAAATTAGGTCCCGTAGTCACTAGCAGAGTAACGGGAAGTCGTCCTGGCATCTTTTCGAGTCCGGCAAAACGACGAGGGAATCGGTACCTGCGGGTGGAGAGGAGAGGGAAGAAGGAACCTGACAACGGCGGAGGCACCGCGCGCGGGAGGAAGGGGGAGGGAACCTGCACGAGGGGCAGGAGGGCAGCGCGGCGAAGACCGGCGCGCGCGCGCGGAAGCAGCAAGCAGGGGCAGGCGGCGGCGCAAGGCGAAGCGGCACGCAACAGGGCAACGCAGCACGCAGCGAGCAGGCGAGCGGCGGCAAGCGGCAGCGACGAGCAGGCGGCGGCGCGCGGGGCGACGGCCAACGCGCGCGGTCGCGCGCGCCCCGCGCTCAAATCCCGAGCGCGGGGCGCGCGCCCCAGGCACACACAAACCTGTGGTACCTGCGCGCGGCCGCGACGGGCAGCGGCCGCGCGCGGGGGCGCGCGGGCCTGCCCACATCGCCTGCGGCGCGCCGCGGCGCGCGCGAGCCAAGCGGCGGCGCGGCGACTGCTCGCGCCTGCGTCCGCCGCGTGCGCCTGGGGCCAGCGAGTGTGTGCGATGGAGCCAGGGGCCGAACTCGTTCCATACACCAAAAAAACATGGGACATCATATTTTTGGCACCTCGGGGCCCTCTGGGGGGATCTCTTGGAGCCCCCCTGGGGCGTCTTTGGGGCCTCTTGGGCTGTCTGTGGGCCATCTTTGGTGTCTTGGAGCGACATGTGGGCGACTCCGGGTCATCGTGTCCGTCTTTGGGGGCTCATGGGCCCCTTTGGCCCGTCATAGGGGCACTCGGGCCTTTGGAACAGTCACGCGCGGATGCCCGAGAGCGCTCGGGAACGCCAGGAATCATTGAGATCGTGGGCTCCCAGCCCTTAGTTGAAACACTTCAGCACTGAATGCGTCAAGTAGAACATTCCACTTGGTGCCACGAGGCACGGTGGCGGGTGTATGTGTATAGATGCATATATGTATATGCGTGTAGGTATGTTTATCGGTATGCACAATTGTTGCTTCCTCATATGTATATATATACACGTGTGTATATATATATATGTGTGTTTGGTTCGATGCGTGCATATATGTATGTGTGAACATCCGCAGCGTCGGCTGGCGAGGCAGGCCAGGTACACCTGAGCGGGGGCTTTTTTCTATGCAGGAAGATCTGTGTATCACTTAACGTAAGGCGGCTATTCTCCACAGGATGAAGGGTGAGGAAGAGAGGAGAAACGTTCAGAAAGAAACGGGAGAGGAGGGAGGGCGGGGCAGCCCGGCGCTGCTGGCCCAAGGAGGAGGAGGAGGAGGAGGAGGAGGAGGACGACGACGAGCAGGAAGAGGAGCAGGAGGAGGAGGAGGAGGAGGAGGAGGAGGAGCAGGAGGGACAGGGGGGGCGCGAGGAAGCAGGGAGAAGAGAGGGCCCCGCATTGTTGGCGAGGGAGGAAGTGGGCAGGAACTTGTGAGGGCTAGGATCAGGGCCCCAAACATCCGACGTTTTCCCACTCGCAGCAGGGATCCCCAGATGTCCGGCTCCCCTTCCCCAGGGCCAGCGCTTCATCCTGGGCCCTGGGTCGTCCTTGGGCGCGCGGGGGCCGCCGCACCTTGTTCGCGGCGCGAGGTCATGGCCAGAGGGACGGATCGGGGAGGCGAAACTTGGACAGCAGAAGCCATCCGGCGCGGGGAGGCGCGAAGGGGAGGGATGGCTCGGATTACGGTAACGGTCACAACGATAACGGCAACGGCAACGATCATTACCGTAGCGATCGTCATCGTTGAGCGTTGTTCTTGTCGTCGTCGTTATTGTGCCCCCTCGTTGGTCGTTCCCAGGCTGCCTCAACCTGAAGGAGTTCCACAAGCTCGTGCGGCTTGTGCGGGAGCGCGAGGACGAGGAGCTCCGACGATGACACCCCTCTTCCCGTTCCTCGCCTCTCTCTCGTCAGCATTATTCCTCCTCCAGAGGTGGATGCCGATAGTGTTCCCCGGTGCCCTGAGGCTCCCTGGCGGGTCGGAGATCGGATGTGCCCCTGGGCGCCGCGGAGTGGAGCGGCTCGGCGGCGGAAGCGAGCACGCTCAGCAGCAGGGTGCGCGTCCCCCTTTGCCCTGCTGGGCCCTCCCCCGCCCCCACCCTCTCAGTGTGCAGTTCCTGGGAGGTCACTTCGGCGTCGGCGCTGGTAAGTTCGGGGGCGGAAAAGAGGGGGGTGATGACTAGGGGGGGGGTGAATATCATGGCGGGGGCCATGATATTTCCCCAGATCTCATCGCGCCTCTTCTTGCTTCACTACGTCCCTGGCCCCCCCGCTGGGCCGCGCACATGCCGCCAGTCATGATTTGCATCCCCCCCCTCTTGGACACCCCCCTCTTGGCCGCTCCCGATAAATACGTGGTCGCAAATGCGCCCAATCTGGCACAATCTCGCTCCACCCAGCCTGATCCCGTTTGATGTTGGCTTCGTCCCCCGCGCAAGTCGCCCTCATGTGGCTCAGCGGCACCTTCATCGGACCTAGCGGCCCTTGACTACTTGTTCTGACGAAGATCTCCCAGGAGTTGCTTCCTGCGCTCAGCGTCAGGAACATAGTGTGCGATGCGGCGCCATCTTTCTGAACAGCGTGCACCGAAGAAGCCTTGGCAGGGGAATGGTTTCACAGTGACGGCGTGCTTTTCGGAGGCCGATGCTGCGCGCTAACTATCTTCCCAACGCCAGCCATAATCCTTCCCGCGCCTCCCCGCCCTCGGCCCCTCTCCTGGCGGGGCTACGACGAGGATAAATCCGTTCCAGAGCGTTTCGGAACGCTCTCAGAGCGCTCCGGAACAATATGAGAAGGCCGCGGCGCCCGAGACATCCTCCAGAGCCGCCAGATTTTAAAGATTCTCAATTATCCTCGCCCCAAGTGTATCCTCGTCCTGGCTTCGTCTTATCCTCCTGCCCTGCCCCGAGCACTTGCCCCCGGCGAGGAGATGCACAGGGCGCGCCAGGCCATGGACCTGCCGATGGCTAGCATGTTCGAGGTCGTGCACACCTGCCTGGCGCAGAGGCCCCCTTCCGCCCCGCGACGGCGGGGGTGCCGTTCCGCGCGGGCTCCTCGCCAGCTTGGTTGCCCGGATGCGCCCGCTGTGAGACGCAACGCGCACACGCCGGAGGTTGGCAGCAGGTATCTCTTGGGTCCCAGATCCCACTCTCTTTCAAGCGCCTTCCTATTGCAAGAATCAATCTGCTTTTGCTGTGTGTCAGGATTATTTTGGAGGGCCTGGACCGAATCTGCTTCATCCGCCTTATGCTTCTACCTACGTCTTCCGACCGACGTGTGCCGTGTTCAAACGCCCGTGTTAACACGTTGCGTGTTGCCTTAACGTGCTGGCCCGCGTTGTGGCGAACGTATCACGCCAAATGTACGTTGTGAATATGCGTGTTGAGCTCCGTACCGACACGCTACGGGTTGCGTTTTGCGTATCGGGGCAACTAAGCTCGCCAGAGATCGATCGTATCGGGGCAACAAAACTCGGCAGGGAGATGGCTCGCGAATTTCGGCCAGGATGGACAGCTGGCTCCCCTTTGTGTGGGTCGAGGCTTCGGGGGCCCCACATTGAAAAAATCAAGGCGTCCGAACCCGGGACGAAGCCCCGTCAGGTGGGACAGGAAATGAAGGAGCAAGAAGAGAAAAGTACGGAGAAGGATAAGAATAAGTGAGGGGAGAGAGCAGAAAATACGCACAGCACTGAGAGAGAGAAAGAAGCAACGATAAAAAGACGAACCCGCGCGACGACGAGGACTCGGACCTCTGGGTTCCCTCCCTCCCCGCGCCTGCCCCACGCATCAGCATCGGCCTCACCACTGGTGCTTGAGCCATCCTGCTCCTGAGGACCGGTCTTCTGTTTCACGACCACCGGGAGCTCAGAGGACTCAGCAGGAGAAGCTTTACGACGCCCGCAACAGCAGATACGTTCCAGGATTTCTTAGGTCTCGTGAATTTCCCAGGTTCCCTGATGTTCCGCACGGGCTGCAGAAACGAAAGCCACTAGATACTCCTAAAATCCTGGAACGCATCCTGAGCCAATCTTATGATGACAGCAGACAGCACCGATGCCAAGCTCAGCCTTCTCAGCGAGGCGTGGTCGGCCTTCAACAGCAGCCTCCGCAAAGTGCAGCGACGCCTGAACACTGGGGGCACACATGGACCTCGGCACCCGCGTGGAGGCCGACGCTGCCACGGAGATCTATCCGGCTCCGCCTGCTCCTTCAGACCCCGGCGCTTCGCCGGGGGCAGCTCCAGCTGGTACCAGTCGGGCGGGTGGTCACGGGGTGTGACCTGACTAGGGGTGAAATAGCCTTTAGGGCTTGCTTCTTCACCCCCCGTTCAGGCCACCCCCCATTCTCAGACCCCCGACGTCATGATTTCTACATGACGTCGAGCCCCGGAAATCTCGACCCATTCTCCAGGACCGCTTTCTCGTCCTGCGTCGTTTTCTGACGGCCCCCGAGGCCCTGTGAGCCCCCAGAGGTTGAACATATCGACAAACTTCCCCTCGCGATTCTTGCAAGACCCGAGGGGGTCTGAGATACCTTCTGCCCGTGCCAGGCTCCGTCGGCTCGAGCCGGGAGCGTCGCCGGCACTGCCTCCCGCCCTCGAGCTGGCACGCTGGGGCCGGGTGCGATGCCGGCATGGGGCCGGCGAAGGGGCTCCACCTGGTCAACAAGGAGCGCTGCTGGCACTCCGCACCGCTGAACCGATCCCTGTCTTCAGCACGAGCGGCGAACAGCATCTGTACCCGCGCCCTCGCGGTTTGGACTCCGGGGCGCGATGCCGCGGACACGCGGTCGCACGGTTGCATTCCGCGCGGGGCGTCGCCGCAGAAGCGCCCCGCAGCCGCGGTGTCGCAGCCCAAGAGGCCGGCCCGCGAGGCCGCGGATACGTATATGTGCTTCGCCCATGACTCCATCCCCGTCCGCGTCCCCAGCTCCGCCATCGCATCACACCACTTGGGGACGTACCTTTCGAGGCCCGAAGGAAACAGCCTGTACGCACATGCAGATGTAGGGAAATCAGGCCTCGCCAGTGGGGACAGGGATCGGCTAAACGACGCTCAGGTACTGGCTGGCCGCCAGCACAGGGCCGGGCGGCTCTGCGGAGACCCGGGACCCCGCGGCGCTGCCGGGCAACAGGCCAGTACGACCGAAATGAGTATAGGGACAGAATGGGCACGATTCGTGTAGGAGATGAATTACATAATTCAAACTTGACGTGTTTATAGAAGCTGCGAACAATGTGTAGAGTGCCCCGTAGATCTACGGAACAGTCTACGTATACGTGCACGCTCAACGAGAAAAGCATATCCAGGGTAACTCAATCACGTAGTCGATCTCCTACTCGAAGCACGGGCGCGAAGACCGACAGCAGGTCATGTTCATTCTGAACAGGGCTCGCTGTCGATGTCGCCGCGGACGCGATCCATATCTCTTGAGACAGTCGCCTGGTGCATCGTGCCTATTTTCCGTACCTGTTTCTCGGCATCGCTCGGACGTGTGCATTTTTTCTTCGGCGAGGACCATCGAGGAGCATCCTCGATCATTTGGCGAGAAAACCACGCACGAAACCGAAAAAAACACAGGGAATGGACGTCCGAGCTATGGCGAGGTTTCGGGCGTCCAAAGCAGGGAGGAGCATTTGCGGCGCAGCGAGCGGTCCGAATGGGGCCCGAGGTGGGCACGGCTCTGCCCCGCCATCCTCCGGGACCGCAGGGGCAAGACGGCGGTCGTGACCGACTTTGCGGACCCTGCGAGGGAGAAGGAGTTGCCCTCGTCCTTGTTGATCGCGTGGTACGAGGGCAACCAACAATGGGATTCACAGAAAAGCTCAGAGACCCGTGCGGACTCCTCGGGTCGGTGCAGGGGTCTCCTCGCGGCGCTTGAGCGCCGATCCGAGGAATCCGCGCGGACCTGAGTTTTTATATGTATGCCATGGTTTGTTCCCCCAGGTACGAGGGCCTGCTCGTCCTGGACGGGATCCGCAGGTCAGGTTTGCAGGTCTCCTGGTTCAACGAGGAACTGCGGTCCCAGCTGAAGGAAGCGGGCGTCGTCAGCCCAGCCCTCTACATGAAGGAGCAGCTCCACGACCAGGCGGTCACCGGCCCGGAGTTCCTGACCTCGGACGGCAAGACTTCCGAGCATCGGAGGAAAATACTGCCCCGCGAGGTCCCTGCGGACGGCGAGACCAAGGACGGCTGGTTCAGGGTGAAGTCGCTGGCCGGGTATCTGCCGCCGTGGGAGGCATTCCTCCACCCGAGGTGCGGACTCTACCAGGACTTCTACATGGTGCAGTGGGACTACCCTGACGACAGCACCGACTACAGGGATATGGAGTTTGGCGGAGACATGGTCGGCACCACTTGGGAGCCAGACGAGTGCCTGCCTGACGAGCTGGACAACCTGAGGATCAGCCAGAAAAGGAATTGGCTGGGCCAACAGCTCGGAGGAGGGCCAGTTGATGTGTGTGTGTGGTTCCCATCTCACCCACTGTTACTCCATGCGTCTGGTGCCCTCAGTCCAGTCGGGAGCAATCCCCACGCCTAACACGCCAGGTTTAGGGGAGGGTTCCCACCCTTCTCAGGCATTCGCTCCTCAACCTCTTGCTCCTGCTGCTGCATGTGATGTCGGTGGAAACACCTACGGAGTCAGAAGCAATCCTTGTGGAACATGACCCAGACCAGGGTCGGTGGCGACACCCACTGTCTCCTCTTCTCTCCTCTCTGTGCGTGACCCTCGAGGCGCGCGCGTCTATGTGGGGTGTCCTGCGGCCATGTGCCCTATGCAGGCGCCATCCCATAGGGGGTACACATATACCTATATGGTTACGGCAGACTGGCTCTTACGCTCGATCACCCCTCTCACAGGTTAGCAGCCGCTTTACCAGAGTTCCGAGACCGACGCTGTCAGTCCCTGAGAATGTTTTTAACGTCATTTATTTTGTGGCCTTCTCGACCTGCACCTCAGCAGGACGGTTTCCGAGCGAGGTCAAGGCGGAAACCCACTCTGACATGAGCGCGCCATTCGTAAGACGGCGCAATCGCTTCAGATGATGTGACGACTATCTTTGCTCATTCTTTCTAGCGTTTTGTGGCCATCGTTGATTGTCTCTGTTGGAAGCTGAATTGGCGATCTTGCACGCGGGGGAAGTTCCCCGGTCTGGAAGTATGCGCCCCACCTCGTGTTTCTGAGCTTTCGGACGGCATGGTGCGATCCCGTCCGCGCGAGCTCCCGTTCCGTCAGGCCGCGCGGGTAGCGCCGGACAACCTGAGTTGTTCGGGTACCGAGGCAGGTGCACTTCCTGTGCTTCGCCGGTGACAACACCTGCTGCGTCTCTGCCTCGTCGCCTTGGCTGGGCGCTGCTACGCGTTGTTTTTTTTTACAGAGCTCCCAACGCGACAGAGACTTTTCGATATGCCCCCCATTATCCAGCTTCTCCATTCCTTTCTCTTACGTCGTTTTGCGTCGGGGTGGGGCGCCCCCCGCAGGTGCACTTCGACGCCCTCCTCTTCTCGCTTTCTGTTGTCCTTCCCCATCTCCATCCATCCATTGCTTCTCTCCTCCCATCTTTCTGTCTGGTCTTCTTTCTCCTCCGCGTTTCTCCGCGCGTTCGTTGCTATCATACCCACGCTCAGATTTGAACGATTGTTGGGCGCTGTGCCGTGCTGAGCGATCCTTGCCCCCTGCAGGCTGGCGTTCCCGACTACGGCTGACGTCTCGATGCGCCCTGAAAGTGCGTGCCAATGCACGAGGAATGAATCTCGAATAACGCACGCGGAAGTCCCCCCTGCTAGACTGGCGCGTTGGACGGGCCCAGACTGCGCAGCTGGGACCCCCTCCTTCGGTTTGCGATTTCGCCCAAATCGCTGACAGGTTGCAGGATGTAGGCAGGCGGCGGACCACACGTCGTTAAGCATTTCGTTCCCCGAATCGCGAAGAGTAGCCCAAGCTGGCGGGGGCGCCCCGGTTCACATGCCCCTCAAGAGCCGGGGCATTTGCTATGACTCCCCCAGGGCCCCCAAGAAGGAGGCTCGTGCAAGAGATTCGGACCAAGTACAGGAAGCGCCCGTGAAGACGGGTTCCCGAGATGGCTCCTCCTGCCCCTCTCTCTCTTTCTCTTTTTTTTTTGTTTTCTCTCTCTCTCTCTCTCTCTCTCTCGCTCTCTCTCTCTCTCTCTCTCTCTCTCTCTCTCTCTCTCTCTCTCTCTCTCTCTCTCTCTCTCTCTCTCTCTCTCTCTCTCTCTCTCTCTCTCCTCTCTCTCTCTCTCTTCTCTCTCTCTCTCTCTCTCTCTCTCTCTCTCTCTCTCTCTCTCTCTCTCTCTCTCTCTCTCTCTCTCTCTCTCTCTCTCTCTCTCTCTCTCTCTCTCTCTCTCTCTCTCTCTCTCTCTCTCTCTCTCTCTCTCTCTCTCTCTCTCTCTCTCTCTCTCTCTCTCGCTCTTTTGCATCATCACTGCTGCGCCATGACCTTTTGATTTGCTCGTGGTAGAGCCCTGAGGCTCGTCGACGGCTCTGGCACGGGCGTCGTCGTTGAAGGTGCGCATTCACAGATCCAGGCAATGCGGATGAGGCCGCATGGCGCGGCTGCCTCATTCCCCCTCTCCCCCGCCCCCCTCTGCTCTTCCTCCTCTTCCTCTTCCTCCTCCTCCTCCTCCTCCTCCTCCTCTTCACCTCTTGGTATGATTTGTGATTGATGTTTGTCACATTCTCATTCAGGTTACTCTTCTTTGCAGAGCCCGCGGCGTCCACAACTACAGGTTGAGTCTTCGCGGTCGACCCCGCAGCGGCTCTGTGCAGATCCCCATTCTTCTCCTCTTGAAGGCGCATGGAGACGGATGTCTCTCATCGGGGGGGTCCTTCCCCCTTTTCTCTTTCCTCCTCTCTTCCTCCGGTGGGTTCAGTCCTGCAGCCTCTGGGCGTCGCGGGAGTTCGCCTCCCCGCGTCTCCCCGGAGTCGGGCCTGGCCCCTCCCTCCCTGCCCCCCCTCTCCCCGGACAAGTCAAAAACCTCCGCGGGGGGGTCGCGGCCCCGCAAACTGGCACCACTTGCGAGGGGGCGCGACAACGCGTGCTCGAGGTGGCCAGAGCCCGGCTCTCGTCGATAAGAGCAGCCAATTTTGGGCGGAGCCAGCGCCCCCAATTGACAAGAGCAGCCCATTTTGGGCGGGGGCAACGCATCTTCCTCCCTTCTCGTTTCCCTCTTCTCCGTCCCCCTTGTCCCCCCCTTTCTCTCCCGCGCGCCATCTCGCGTCGGGGGGGGGGGGGGGCGCGCTGTCGGCGCCCCAGCAAGGGGCAGTTGGGCCCCGAGGCCCGAGGCTTCGAGCTCACCCCCCTCCCTCCGCCCCATCCAAGTGAAGATGCCGCCTGCGCCCGCCGCAGGTGAGCGGGCGCGGCGCAGGGTTCTGCCTCCCTACAGGTGCGCGACGACATGTTCCTCATCCTGTTTCTCTCTACTTTTCCCTTCTCTAGTTCTGCCTTCGCACAGGTGTCAGTCGAGAGACACTCTCTCAGTCCTGCTTTCTTTCTCGGTCGTTGCTGTCGCACGCATTGCATGTTCTTCTCCTCCATGCTTGCCGGCCACTTTCCGCCCCGCCCTTGCGCGTTCTTGCCTAAGGTGGCGCATGCTCCGACCGCCTCTTCAGGAACTCTGTCGCTGCGAGGTCTGGCCGGCCAGGTCTGCTTCATCTTGTGTTCTACTTCCGCCACGGGCGTCGTGAGGGGGGGGGGGGGGGGGGGGGGGGGGGGGGGGGGAGATGTCCCAGACCAGGGTCGGTGGCGACACCCACTGTCTCCTCTTCTCTCCTCTGTGTGCGTGACCCTCGAGGCGCGCGCGTCTCCGCGGGGCGCCCTGCGGCCACGTGCCCTATGCAGGCGCCATCCCACAGGGGGTGCGCATATGCCTATATGGGCACAGCAGACTGGCTCTTATGCTCGATCACCCGTTTCACAATCCCCACGGTGAGTCTGGAGCAATCCCCGCGCGTGAGTCGTGCAGTTTTATTTCCAGCGCCTCCGCGCGCGCCCGCTGCTGGGGCGCGAGTGGCCCCCAGAGCTCCGCGTATGTTCACGTCGCCGAACATGTTCGCGCCATCGAGGGCCGCAGTGGCACGCGGCGCGGGTGGCCATGCGCCGGCGCCTGCAGTGGCCCAGCCAGGCGCGCAGAGCAGCAGCGCATCCCCAGAGCAATATCACATCATATCCCAGCGCCATGACACTAGCCGCAGTCCCTCCCAGAGGCGCTCGCGGCAGGCTTCACGGAGGCGCGGCACCGCCAGCGCCGCTCAGCACGCCGCGCCCTCCGCCAACGAAGCGGCAGAGTTCAGATGCAGAGTTCAGAGACCAGGTTGGTACTTTCACAATTCGTTTCTTTGTCAAGTCGTGCTCAGTCTGTCGCGGGCGCGTCGCCGCAGACGGCCATCCTGCGCGCTGAGCTTCATCAGGCCTTCACCGCGGTCGATCAACCGGTCGCTGAGGAACTCCGAATCTTAGGCGAAGTTCACCATCAAGTCGATCTTGTTGAGCCATGCCGAGGTCAGGACACCCAGTCCCTGCAGACGCTCCGCGACTCCGTCCTCGCTGTGGAGGAGCAGCTCGCGGGCGTTCGTGACCAGGGCGCTGCTGTTGCGCGGATTCTGCACGATGAGATCCGCGAGACGGCTCAGCGCCCTGCTTAAGAGGTATCTGGAGTGCCAAAAGAAGTTTTTCGAGCTGAATTCTTCGAATTCCGCGATCGTTTCGCGAGGGCGTCAGCACGCGTCCGCATCGAGACCATCAGCGTCGAACAAGATCGACGTGGAAAACCGCGCGTCGCCGAAAACGCTGTCGATCAACGTCCGGGCGCACCGACAGCCATCGTGCCAACGCTTGATGACCGGATCTCCGCGATCGAGCAGAAGGTTCCACCATTGCAGGCCGCCGTGGCCGAGTAGCAAAGCGCGCGGGCCCACATTGATCAGCTGGCGAACCCGACTTCGGCGTGCGATCTAGCCTCCATCACTGCCGAGCTGCAGGATTTGAGGAAGGCGACGGACCACCTGCAGTCTATGTTTACCCAAGTCTCTCGCGAACGAGATGCTGAGAATGCTCGGGCCGATGATCGTACCACTCGTCTGGACAAGCAGCAGGAAGCACATGACTTACGTTTCCGAGACCTCGGGCAACGGTTGTATCGGCATGCGCACCGTACCAATCAGTTGGAGGGTGAATGAGGGGGTCTGCAACAGGGGGTCTCTGCAATGGGGGCTGAATGGCTTATGCATGCTCACTGTATCGCTCATGTATGTGACCGGAAACGATTGGTATCCAATGTTGGTGGTCATGGAGGGCCAGTCGATCGTGCCCGCGCGTGGCCCGCGCGGGCGCGCGCGCCGTCCATCCATTATCGTTCACGCGCGCGGGCGTTCCTGCATAATTACTGCGCGCGGGGCTGCGAAGTGGAAGCAAGTGT